ATCCCAGAGCGATAAGTATAACGTACCATGTTCAAGGTTGATTTTTTGTCACCGTGGGATTGCTTTGCTTCAGATTGTGCACCTATCGTCTCTCGCAGCTCTTCTGGTAAGCTTAGACTATCGTCTGCATCTTGGTAGAGAGCCAACACGATGATGTACCATAGCTTACTATGGTTACTTTCACACATGAGAAATTGCTCAGCAGATTCGTTGAGTAAGTGGATCCTGTTCATGGGATCGCGCCTCGTATTGTTTCCTTCTCGGTTTCTGTTCAAGAATTGCATGATGTACGAAAGGCAATTACACTTTTCATCGCTGCTACTGCCGGTTGAGTTAGAGTGCTGAGGTTCTAGATCGATGTAGAGGCGTTCCTGGCTAGGGAAACTCAGATCTAGAAATTCTTCGTCCAACGCGGGCGACAGGGGTGGTAGTACGCCACAGTCGAAGCTGGTCGTGACTATCGGCTCTGAGATACCCTGAGCGTTGTTTGGCTGTGCTGACGTCTGGCCGTGGCGCTCTGCTCGGCCACTCGTGGTGTCTTCTCCAGAACGACTTAGGTGGTTTTGGTAAGCCTGATCGGCTTGTGACCCATAGCTTAGGGATTGCAGTCCTGTATCTAGATTCGAGTGAAACAACGCAGTTTCGGAACGGTTCGAATCGTTCTGCATTTGGATTCCTGGGTTTTTGTGTCTTGTCTCTTCTTTCTGGCCGGACTGGTCGCTAGCCTGAGAGTCTGTAGGATCATCGCGAGTTAGCAAGCCGACCAACAGTTAGCTGAAGCGAACATACCCTCGAGACTACGTTGTGATACGGGAGTGTACAGGCCCTTTCTCTGCAATGCCTGCTCCTGTGTTCTGATAGCATTACGCATGGCAGTACGCCTATGCTGACGACTCTCATCGGACTCTGATCGTTTCGGGCGCCCAACAGGCCTGCTGATACTGTACGTGCATTGCTGGCCAGACTGTTGGCATCTCTCGCACGCAGGCTTCCCACGAGAACAGCTGAGCTTGCGGCGATAGCATTGATCGCAGACATTGTTGTAAGGATTCACTTCCGAGCTGAAAGATTCGCCTTGATGAGAGGAACGTGTATAGGATTGGTTTGATGCCATCTTGAAGAGTGAATTCCTTAGGTTGATGGGCTATTGCAGATGGCCTTCAGCTCATTCTTATATTCTGTAGTGCCGGGCATTCGCCCTTTTTTCGAATAGACTAGACATGATTCCCAGCCTATCGTATCATCTGACGCGCAGCCCTCTGCACATTTTGGGCGAAATGATAAAGGTGATTTCGTCCGCCAGCAAAAGCCGATTAGCTGTCCCGTCTAGATGCAGCAGAATCCATGTACCATAGAAAGGTACAGGCATTGCTGGAGCTAACGAGGCGGAGTGCAACCAGCTCGAGATTGGATTGAACGTAATGCAGCTGCAGGTTGCATGTTTACTAGTTAATAATAACAAAACAGACATAGTGACAACTTTTGATAAGGAAGCCTAATCTGTTGGACTTTACCAACAGTATCGTAACCAATTCAACTGCTTTTTGAAGATGTTGCTCATCCGGAACACACCGGATACGATGCGTAGCACTCCCTGCACCAGCTAATTTATAGTGATTTACATAGCTTTGTTTGAACGATCATCCGTAGAGAAACTAGTTACACTCTCATGCAATTGCAGCTTCCGATTTCTGTGAGCAGACGACCTTCGATGCCACGCTAAGCCTCTGTCGTTTAGTGGTAATCTTGCCAAATGATACTAGTCCCTGTCAGCAATCCCATAGATTGATTTTCTTTCTGACACGCTCGGGTCAATCAATGCATAATATCTATTTGGCTTAACCTCTTTTGCACAAGCGTATACCAGGCGGGTCCGTGTCCTGCGTGGGATGGAAACTGAGCTGCATGCGCAAAGCGGAAGTTGCAAATGCATGAGAGTGTACATCATGACCTTGTCTGTACGCAGTGGAATCCATGTACGGTACAACCCGTGCGAGATTGACTCCAGCCTAATGCAACTTTGGGGGGCATGCTTTACAACAAATAAGCATGATAATAACTTCTGGTGAAGAATCATAAGGACTCCTAGCATTATCCTGAATGTAGTCAGCGGTTGTGGTCCGTTCGCTCCAAGTCACTCCACCGCCGCCTGGCCGCCCGCTGCGATATACCTGATGACCATCAGATCTTATCATACGCCTTGGACTCACTACCAAAATTGAATCGGTGCTTACATATGTAGAAATCATCATAGCTATATCTGCTACCATGCCAGGATCGTTCCCCAATGCTCTACTTTTGTACAGTCATTGGCGATTGCGGCTTCACCCCTACACGCAGCTGCGCAAAAGATTTGCGTAGCCCCACATTTTGTATATAGCTTAGCGCAAGAAGTCAGCTGCAGAACCATTGGTGTGATTGGTCAATCGACGATCTTCAATGATCGGACTCTTGGAACGCTGCTTACAAGGGTGAAGCCGCAATCGCCAATTGATGTACGGAGTACATGTGCCTATATCTATCACAATACTGTAGCAGAACTATATCGGCCCGGTAGGGTAGAGCACCTGGTCTCCTTGGCGGAAGCAGGATGGATGTCTTCGGAAACAGGGTACGATGTACTACTTCGGTGGAAGATAACGGGCGGTTTGCAGTCTGCACTTATCTACATAAATAGTAACCATCAAACTAGAACAATACAATATACGATGTTGCATCAAGCCAGCGACTCACTTTTCTACACTGCTCTACTGGGATCAAACGCAGCTGCCCTCCTCTCGCCTTACTACGCTGTCGAACCGAAAATGTGCGATAGCGCGGCCTGTCAAGCAAGTTCTTGTATGAGTTAAAATACCGGTGAATACTGCCGGCGCGGGGAGGGGCGGATAACTGGCATAGTCTGAGGCAACGGTCCGAAAGGGCAGTGCCGGGCTGCTCCAAGGGGAAGGGGAACTTGCCGACACCCAAGCCGGGTGTCAAGCACTAGTTAGTCGGGCCGATGCAGTGCCTAATGTTACACCATCTACTCCGTATGTTATCGGACCTTACTCCGTACTCATGCCATACTTGTAGACCATAGTATCTTAAAGCCGGAGCCACCTATCCCTGGTTAGTTCGCTGGCCGGTTGCTTGGCTTCCACCGCCTCTTTGTTTGGTTCTCTGAGATTGTCTGTCGCGGCGGTCAATCTTCCACACCGTCACGAGCAAAGTTGGATTGGCTCTTGCACGACTGTAGCCCTCTTTTGATTTGGTTTGATTTAGTCCTACTCGGTTTCAGCCGCGTTCTGCGTAGCTATGTGACAGGCATGGCGGACAGCCGACGCGGTATGGATATTAATTGACTTACCCTACTTCATCCCAAAAGGACCATTTGTCCCCAGAGGCCTGCCATTTCCCCTTAGGCATGTTACAAATAACAAGAAGGATTCTCTCCTTGACGTGGGAACGAGGGTTGAAGGCCAACCGACGCCCGCGTCAGAAGGTAATGATCACCGCGAGGCACTGGTCACGTGACCTGGCATCTCGCCAAGACAGGACATCTGGGGATGCCAGCGACATCTAAGATGTCAAGGGCTCGGCCGGATGTTGGGTCCAAAGGCAATGGGTATAAGAATGTGTTGGATCTCATTATTACACTCGTTGTGATCAACTCTCATAAGTTCTTCTCGTACACAGATTGATACTTGGTTATTCTATTCCCATATAGAATTGAATTGTCGATTCATACCCTCGGTTAACTCCTATAACTCTTTTCCACTACGAATCGCCAGGCAATCGCACGGTTTACTTCATCATCCAGTCTCACCCTAACCCGGACCGAGACTAGGCAAGTATTCCCCTACCTTGTGTAGACCCCGTGTAACAAGGCACTATCTACACGTCCTTGGCCAGGCAATGTAGATGCTAGTTGCATTAACTGTATGCTGTATTCTGTGGCTCATAGAGGCCCGCTGCCTCGTCTGTCGCGTCCGCTGTACCCACATTCTCCCCCCAGCGCTCAGCGTTGCCCGCGTATCACCGATCCCCACTTGCCCAAGGATCTGCATCTGTTCCTGTAAGCCCAGTAGTACCATGCATAGTCACGCGGTTATCCACCAACTAATAACGCTGTATTGAAACTTGCTCCTATCATCATACGAATAACAATACATAATCCTTCACACACACACACACACACACACACACACACACAGAACCGCTTACATATTGTCTTTTCCATCGGTTAACATCCTGTTGCACATTGATCCGCTTTCGGAGAGAACTTTGTTAGCAATACTAATGATCGAGTGACAGTACATTGCCCGATAGCCTCTATATAAGCAGATGAGACGGTGTAGATAATAATAAAAGAGACACAATTTTCTTCACGCACCAAAGAGTGCGACATAAGCTTTCTTTTTTGAAGAGCTTGCAAGCACTCTAGTGTTTGTACATACCTCTAGCACGACTCTAGTCTCGTCCATATTCCATGTATCTTCATACTGTATGTCTAGCTCTAGTTATACGCATACGCTCAAACAGCTCAAGGAAGGCCTTCACAGTCTCGTAGTTGGCGCTAGTAGTACGCGCATTCTCGATCGTTCGGCCAACTATCGATGCGACGCGTGGGTTACCGGCAATAAAGTGAGGTACCTAGAGCTGTCCTAGTAGCTGGTGGTCGCCGTTCATACGAAGAATTCGGACGGCCATTTCTTGTACGCAAGGGTGAGGGGGTGGCTGTGCGCGTGAGTCTTCTTCTAATACCTACTCTACTAGAAATTGCTCTTGCTCTGGTGTCAATCGCTGCTGGTGTTGGTGAGCCATTACGTGTGGTTGTTGGCCTGCTCGTCGGCCTTGCAGCGTTGTTTGCGGGACATTGTGCCAACGCGCAGCTGCCCGCTTACTCTTAACAACAATAGAATTGACATATTCTATAACATTTTGTATAGTAAGTTCCTGTGGATCTATGTTGAAAGTGTAATGTTGAAAGAATAACGACTCTGAGTTGCCTGAGCCTAGTTGATTGAAGTAACGTGAACGCATATCAAGTGACGCACCGACGACCCGTAACGATTCAATGTGTACCAGCTCATGTAGGAATCCCTGGAAATCAAGCGGCGGACCTTGCAGCTAAGGAAGTAACTTAATGGCGGGCAACTGGCTGCTGACGTCCACCAGCAGAGTTCTCCAACACTGTACCCACTCAAGTCTACACTGAGAAGATGGTGCAAAACACAAGCACAGAACACATGAGCAGACAGCTGGGAAACTATCACTAAAGGACAAGCCATGTGCAGACCCACACCAAGGCCAAACAAGAAAGTGCTGTAGCTTCATGAGAGGCTTAGGAAACACGAGGGTCCTCGTTGCGAGTGTGAAGAGAAGACGTCCTGCTCCAATGCAGGATCTACGAGGACCCCCGCAACCAAGCATTCGAAAACTTTTCTGGACGAGACGACCTCCAGGCCGTCCTAGATATGCCACAGCTGGCCACTGGAGCCATCGAGTTTGTAGAGCAGACGCAGATTCTTGGACAGAGGGCTCTTGTTTTCGAGGGTGACGTGGGGCGGCGCGAAACAAAGTTTCTGCCAGCTGGGCATAGTAGCTGTAGCGATCACGGCTGAAACCAAGTGGCGTAGGTACCTACCGAACAATCTATCGGGCTCTCTGACCTCTAAACCTTAATGTGTCAACCACCTAAGCTCGAGTCGCTTCTAACTAAGTGAAGCGAGAATCGTGTTAGCCCTACAAGCGATTAAGAAGCCCCAATAATTAAGCGTGCGACGCGCTCCTGCAATTTACAGGATCTCTGAAGCAACCCCTCCGCCAACGCGTCGGGAAGCAGTCAACACGCGATACCCACCCCAAAGCAGCAAATCTTGCAAAAATAGAAAAGAGAGCGTTCGTGCACTACATGTGCTCAATCCCTTTACTAACGAAAACGGTACAGTCGCTTGCAGTTGCAGTTTTCACTCTTTGCACGAGGCACGACTTTCATCCCACGCCGCTGCCATCACGCTTCTTCCAGATGATGCTAGTGATCGTCGTGCGCCCAATGAAACGACTGAATCGTGAGGGGCTAGATCAATGCCGGTATCAGCAAGGCTAAGCATAACGAAAACTAGTGTGTGATGAAAACCAAAGTACATGCAAAAGCAGAAACTGTATGTGCAAGCTACTGTAGCACTCGCATCTAATCACCTTCTTGTTCTTCTTGTTCTTCTTGTTCTGTTTCTTGCGGTGAGACGTACTAGCTAAACTACGCGAAGTAGCGGCGGCAATAGATTGTGCGCAAATATCCCAATCATGCAGGACGGAATGTGGTGAGCTAGGAGTTTGCAGCACTCAAAGAGGACTGCGCCTCTACCTTCGTGATCACTGGCAACATGGCAGAACCACTTGCACACGCCGTCAAACATTCTACGACGAGCGATTCAGTGAAAGAACGAATTCAATTTCGTGAGGAAGGTTAGTTCTATTGCGCTTATGCTGCAGATGCGGAGAGTAAAAGAACGAGGCCTGACGCGATAGTTCAAGTAACGTGACGCGATGAAAAGGATAATATGTTGATGCGATACTTCGATGGTAACTAGCTATGCCGCTAATGAAGCTATGCCGCCAATGAAGCTATGCCGCCAATGAAGCTACGCCGCCAATGAGTGACACGGCCAGGAAGCCCAGCTTTGCCAAGGTTGTCTCGCCTGGCGTTCCTAGTCACCGAACCAGGTGAGTGCCTTAGATACAGCATGCATCCATATTTTAGAACAGCATGCAACAGAACGTCGGAAAAGAGCATCGGAAGGGGAATGCTGGTAATAGAGACATGTCATATGATCTCACAAGAGGAGGCTGGACTCATCATCAATAACTAAGCTACGTGGGAGTACTTACAAAAGGGCCTTTTATCGGAGGTTCTACCTTGTCTTAGAAAGCGGTACGGAGTATTTGACAAACAATGGAGTTAATGTGTTAGCTAGCCTGATGATCGAATGCAACGTTTATTGTATCGTACGACAATATGGCAATCAAATCTAGTCTAACGTTTAGGGTTGCCGTATGAAAGTTAGCCCTGTCGTACATCGATAATGGCACCGTTCTACGCTACGAGAGCTAGGGACACTTTACCAAGAAAGGTAGTCAAGCTTCCCTAGGTTAGACATCCGGAGACTCCGTGATGTCGTGTTTCTGATCACATGAATGAAATGCAGTGGCCAGGTTCTCGGAGCTGACTTAGAGAACGGCGCTACCTTTACAGGGAGACATGGCCTGAACGTTTAAGCCGTTCATATCGACAAAGTACCGGACAAGAAGGCGTATACAATTAACAACGCTGATTGCGCATTCCCTTCTCTAAGGTGGCAGTGTGTAACGACGGAGTGTAGAATGAGGTGGTGGTTGGGAATTGTGTGCTAGTATGTGCTGGAATACGCGAATGTCAATGAGCCGTTGCCGGTGATTTGCAGCATACGATATGAGCAACTGTGTGTATGTACTCCGTATCTTCCGGCCAGAGCTGGTAGCGGCAGCATCGATCGGTCATAGCGAACGAGCGCAAAAAGAAAAGCCTAGAACCAGAGGGAGTTAAGACGTCGCCGAGCTAAGACTGGTGAAACTCAATACCACGCATAATTCCCCGGTGCTAAGTGAAGTCGTTTTATTGTCGATCAACCACTTGAAATTCAATCTGGGGTACCCTGGCCTCCCTGCGGATCTAACCTCTTTCCCTATGTGCCGGAAAACCCGGTGGGCCGGATTGAGCCAATGAGGTTCAGCATCTCGCGGGGATGACTGCTGACCTCGCGTTCTCATTGGCTCGTTCCGGCCCACAGGGTTTTCCGCTACATGGGGAAGGAGGTTA